TAATAGAGAACTTAAGGTGCGTATGTTTTGAAAAAAGAGTATCCTTCCATCCTTTAGATGTATTATTCAAAAAAACATGTGTTTTCTAAAGGAAATGTTAATATGATACTTTAGGTTCATAAAAGTGTCAGCCACAGTACCCTTACAGCATTTTAAGAAAAAAATACTCTCTCTGTTTTAAACTGTGTTTTAAACACTATTTTTTTTTGGTTTCAAATTGATAATATATTAGATACTAGAACCAACTGGATATTACCAATTTTTATAATATTCCCTTGAATTATAGAAAACAACTTATTTTTGTCTCATATTTCACATTACACATTTTTTAATATGCACTCTGTAATGGGCTACAATTAAATGAATGTAACAAAGTCACAGGAAGTTATCAAATCTGATTATTATTTTATACTAGAATTTACCTGGCTAAATTGTTTAAGAAATATACTGTGTTTCAGTGATAAAGTTCTCGTAAACATGTGAATATATGAAAGTCTAAACCTACTTTCTAGATTTGCTTCCCCTGTAATATCTGTAATAGAACAATCCTGAATTAGCTGCTACTTTCCATAATTCTTGTCAGCAAAATCTATCAGTAGTTCTAACTCTGATTATACACGCTGGTAATGTAATTAAACATGTTTTAAGCCTATCTCTGATGTCACAGTTTCAAATATAGCCACATAAATTTTAGCTATGAGTATTTCATACATAATTTATATATACAAATGTGTTTGCATGTGTACCTGGATTAAGTATAATAAATGTAAATTGTATAATTTATATCTATATATGTTTAACTGTGTTTAGTTTCAATCAGACAATGGTTTGATATATATTTTTAATGAGGGAAAATCCTACTGCAATATTAAGATTTTGTGTTTTGCAGACTTCATTTCTTAGTATTTTTTAATTAAAAAGACAAATATATTTCAATGTTCTTTTTAGTAAATGTTATGCTTCCTATTCCAAAACAATCTTAAGTTTATAAATAAGATTTAATGAATCCAAGAACCATGTTATTCCATGAGCTTGTGAACAAACAGTTTAAAGTCAAACTAGAAATCTTTCCAAGTTGGATTTTCACATGATACAGTTTATAAACAAGTTTTAGGGATAGAAAGACTGGTTTTGTCTTTTTTTTTTTTTCTGTATTTGCACTAAGCAAAATTATAATTAATTCTGCTTTTGAGATGACTTTAGGATGAACTGAACCTCCGACCCATCATACCTGCACTTGTGCAAAAGCTGGGATTGCCATGCCTTGTGCCCTGGCCCCTTTTTATTCGGCTCTGAGAGTGTTCTAGACAGGCGTGGGAGTGGCTCTAAAGCAGACACATCATCCAGTAATACTCGCTTCATTGAAGAATGAAGGACCTGTGTGACATCCATTTCTGGAACCTTGATCAGAAATTGATCCTGAAAGAAGTAACACTAACCTTGGACTCTACCACGCTGTAAATTGTCTCTTTTGTAATCGTGACAGACTCTCCCTCGGATTCTCTCTTCCTTGCGACTCCTATGATCACTTTATCCTTTCTCTCTCTGCTGCCAACTAGAGTGGGGTTCCCGGAGTTTTGACACCTCATAAAGACATTCCAGTGGAGTCTAGCACACCCAAACAGATGGTGTGAAAAGGAATACAGGGGAAGAAAATGTATACCTCTGCCAGATTTTCTTGCATTCTAGGTAACATGGTGTTCCAGGAGAAGAAAAAAATACATATAAAAGGAACTGATATCATTGTTACTGCCTGCTTTCTGAGCCAAACCGCCATGCTCCTGCCAAAGATAACAACGTCTTTAAGATGCCTACAGAGACTCCTAACATTATGTAGGGTAAAAGAACTAGACCTGAGAGGAGATATAAAACAATAATCCTTATTATTGTTGTGCTGTGTTACATGGATGCTTACATTGAATAGATTTTTTCTTTTAGCAAGAATGACACCCAGCTCAAATGAGCCTCTCTACTTCTTTTTTTGCCCAGGATGTTGGAAATCTCCAGTAAGCCTCCTCTTCATGCCTAGTACTGGCATTATCCACAGATGAGGGCTAGCGACATGCAAACAAATATTGAAAAGAAACATTAAAGGCTAATTAAATGCTTTTTTCCTCAAGTATATTCAGGTTTTGAAATATATATATACCACAGATAAACACATGAAAAGATATTGAACATCATTAGCCATTAGACAATGCAAATTAAATCCACAGTAAGATACCACTGCACTATCTATCAGAATATCTGCTATCAGAACTATCAGAATTATCAGAACATCTGCACTTATTAGAACATCTAAAATAAAAAATAGTGACTACACCAAAGGCTAGTGAGGATACAGAGAAACTGGATCACTCTTACATTGCTGGTGAGAATCAAATGAATATAATTTGGAACTTTGAGAAACCGTTTAACCAGCATCCAACCCAGAAATCACAGACATAGGCATTTATCCCAGAGAAATGAAAAAACCTGTGTACGTGTGTCTACAGAAGCTTTATTAATAATAACCAAAGGTGTCCAATGAAGGGGTGATGTGAACCTCTGCTACACAAGGTATGGCACAGCCATACTAAGAGGGAAGCACATGTGTCTGCACAAGGAAGCAGGAGGGATCCTTGCGATAATGGAATGCTTTGTGTCTTGGCCGTATCAGTGTCAGTATCCTGCATATGATCTTGTACCATAGTTCTGCAGAATGCTTCCACTGGGGAAAGCTGAATAAAAGGTGGATTAATTTCTCTGGTTTATTTCTTACAATTATATGTGAACCTACAAGCATCTCAAAATAAAATATTTAATTAAGAATAGTCTACTGTTCTCCTGGGCATATGCCTGAAAGATTTAACATCATTCTATAGTGATATAAGCATATCCATGTGTATAGGAGTGCAATGCACAGTAGCTAAGCTCTGGAAGCAACCTACATGCCCATCAACAGAAAAAGGATGAAATACAATGTGGCATGTATTGGTATATATATATATTCTGGAATACTATTCAGTCATAAAGAAGAATAAAATCATGTCATTTGAAGGAAAATGGATAGAACTTGAACCATATTATTAAGCAAAATAAACCAGACACAGAAAGTTAGATATCACATAGATTCTTTTATATGAGAAACCTAAAATATAAACATAAAGAATAAGGGTTGGGGATTTAGCCCAGTGGCATAAGTGCCTGCCTTGCAAGTGCACCATCATGAGTTCAATCCCCAGTACCTAAATAAATAAATAAACATAAAGAGCAAAATAGAGGCGATATGGCAGGGGAAAAAAGTAGATTTTTGGAGATGGAAAAATGGAACTGGGCTAGGCAGAGAAAAGAGGGCCAGACATAAAGGGATCAAATATCACTAAAATTTGTTATGCACATACCCTAATGCTCCAAAATAAATGCAACTAATATGTATTGCAAACATGCACTAGTAAAAAATGTTCTGCTGTTAAAATGAAAATCTTTTACCGTATGCAAAGACAATGTTCAGTTCATACTTGGCTGGCTTCGAGGCAGGGTGGAATCGCAGAGGAGAAATGATCCATGGCAAAGCAGGGAAGGCAGAAAGCAGCAAGCAACCAGCACCCACAATAGCAACACTTCCTCTGTCTCTTGTATCTTATCCAGGCTACCCACTCATTGGTAGTGCTCACACCCTTAATTCTAGCACCCCACATGAATCAATCCTGACATCACATCCTTGATCCCATTATCACACATTTGAGATCCAACCACTTCCAAATAGCCCCACCTATGAGCACGTGAGGATTTGGGGAATACCTAGACATGAGCCATGAATGGAACTGAATGTCCTCCTGACTCATGTATTGATGCCCTAGCCTCCAATATATCAGGAGACAAGGTCTTTAGGCAATAAATAAAATTAAACTAGATCAGAAAAATAGCCCTTATTTGACTGGACTGTGACTTTCTTTTCAGGAGGCAAGCTCTCACCAAAAACAAACCACGTTGGACTTTGATATAGGACTTTCATTTCCAGATCTGTAAAGAATCAAGATTCTGTTGTGTAAGCCACCCAATCTATGGTGTTTTTTTTTTAATTTTATTTTTTAATGTTATCCCAATCTAAGGAAGATTAGGGTCTTATAAAAGATAAATAGGAAGATTGTAGTGAATGACACCAATTTCCTTTAAGAATTTGCATTATAAATTATAATGTGTGTGTTTGTGTGTGTGTAACATACAGACAGCTTAGATTAATGAAGAAAACAGTCTCTAGTCTCTCCATGTCATCAAACTGCTCAAAATCTCTAGAAACAACAAAGACAATTATGAATTCTTTACTCTGCCTTCTGATATCCTTGAGTCCGGGAACATGAATTATTGAATGTTTAACCAAAAATTGAGGTAAGGAGCACAGTTTAAAAGCAGAATGTCATCCATATATATATAAAATCCATGGTCTTCACCTTGTTGTTTTTTCTGTGCGTCAGACACACTAACATTTCATTTTGAGAAACTAAACTACTTCTGATAACGCACGATCTTGCAAGTCCTTTGATGTTTTTAAAATGTTTGTCTGTTTCTCATGCCCGTATTTGATGTACCTGCTTCACCTTTCCCCCCAGATGCGTCCCTTCCTCCTCTGTTCTTTTCCTGCTTATCTGTTCTCTCCTCAGCTTCCTGCTCACTGAGCGTCCTCTCCAGGCTCACATTCATCCCTCTCCTTTTATACACAGCCCCTAGCTCCTCTGAAGCACAACTGGCCTTGCTCAACTCTGCTTGTTCTTTCTTGCATGCATCAATTCCTGTCTTTGTTACATAATCCTGAGCTCAGGCTTAGCAGGGGAGGAAATTATTTCTTAAATAGATACTTCCAACTCTACAAATTCCATAAATGGAACTATGTGTTTTCCTTTCAAATTACACATGACATTCCTCTCAACTCTCTAGAACACTTCTCCATGCCGTAACTTTGGCCCAGAAAAAGGTTGGCGAGGGCACATACCTTTCCAACTGCGTGCCCTGCACCTGTCTCCCTTCTCCTTTTGGTACATCCCACTTCCTCTTTCTGTCCTGCCCAGACTACTCTTCTGTAAAGCTTCACGGCTTTATGCTCCTTACACAAGTTTGATACCACACATTTTGGTTTCCAACACACAGCAATCACAGCAGCAGAACATAGGACAGCCAAGAGGTGAGTGGGGCCAACCTTTTGAGACCCTACTGCTGACTTCCGTCTTACTGTCCTTGTAAATTTTCCTCTAAAGATTAAAAGCTGAGAAGAACAATTTTAAGAGCTCCTTCTAAATCCAACCCCCTAATTTTTCTAATGATGAAACTGATTTTCTGGTGGCTTTAAATGTTTTTGCTCAAAGAATGAAGTCAGAACTAAATGACAACTTTGATTCGTATCTCCTGAAAATCCTGTGTGTTTCTCGGCCCACACACTGGTGCCAAGGACTGGCATACCTTCTCCTCAGAGGCTGAGGCGATGTGCTAAAAGTGTCTGCAACCAGAAAACAGTTATTTGTTAAGTTGGGAATTTGGGGAATTCCTGGGGGAGTCTGCGTGAATCTGGCATTGCAAGGGGGGCTTAGGTTGGGAAAAAACAGAGCTCTGGAACCCACAGAAGAGTATATCCCCGATCTGATCTCATTGTTAGGGCATGAATCAGCAATAACTCTTCTATAGCTTTCATTTTCTAGCAAAAAGTGAATGTAGGTGGCAACAAACTGGATCATCTTACATAATGTAAAAACACTCTGTCCCTGATTGCTTAATTCCTGCCAGCTAGAAAGTGCATTTCAAAGTCATACGACGTCTTCCAAGCCTTCCAAAATGCCTCAAGGAGAGAAAAGCTAGGCAAAGCCCCAAATAAAGATATGTGTATCAATTTCTATGTTTACAACATTAATGGGCCTTGACTAAGACCACTGTGAATTTAATACATTGTATTGTTTTATTTCTACTGTATTTTAGAATGGAACATCTCAAAACAATTAGATTAATTAAATATCCACAGGGATGCAGAAAATGTTTTTGTATCACACTTGGAGACTTGACCAGTTCAGCTCCTTCGGCTTTTCAGAACTTTTAATGATAGATTCTTCACCATTTGGAGCTTTGGTGACTATTTTGATCTGTCATTAAGAGGAGCACTTCAGTACCTGGGAAATTATAAGACTTCTTGAGACTTAAATTTGCCGAGTGTAGCTGTTTCATTTAGGGGAAGCTGTCTTTCGCCTTGAGTGGCACAATTTCAAGCTCCCTAGCTCATTGTCTGAGAATGCAAAATGGATCGTGGTCTTGGGGAGTAAAATACAGGTTAGAAAGGTTAGAAAAAGTCACTGAGCAATTTTTATTGTCTGTGTTTCATCAAGATACTGAAAGTTGAAAATTTCACCCCGTGCTAATAACACAGTATTAGTTACACTTGACTGCTTTGTTGGAGCCAAACCAGCCTCACTTCTGTTCTCTCAAGCCGAAATTCCAAGAGCGGCCAGCTTTTTAAGAAAACAAAAGCTGCCATAATCTCTAGTATAGGCTGGCGTCAAACCGCAGGAGTTGTAGTGAAGACCACATATTATCAAAAGCTGGAAACGTGAAAGAATCTGCAGCATGACAAGCTCCTAGGAAAGGAACGCTTAAAAGAGCTCATTTTTATCCACAACGTCAGCTGCAGGAATAAACTAGCAATGAGCAAGAGGCTGCAGTGGGAAATTAAGAGAGCATGCCCATAGATAGGACATTTTATTCATCTAAGAATCTCTACACCAAGAGACTTAAGCTTTATTCCCTTCTTGGGTTGGCAGCGGAAGATTCTCTTTACTTTTGTGGAATTGCAGAACCATCAGTATATTATACCAAGCAATGTGACCCATGGTCTCCTTTGTTCCCTTCCAACCCTATGGCCTTGGGCAAGCTATTCTCACTTCCGTGTCTCAGTTTCTCCAACAGCAAAATGGTGATGGTAACACTTGTCCTGCGATTTAGGGAATAAAGATTGCATGCATTAACTATTCAGACCATTTGGGACAGCGTGTAGCATATACAAAGTGCTATAAAGCATCCTTTAGATTTATGTTTGGCAGCTTGTCATGCTTAAACTATTTGTCTTTCATTTTTAACAATACCAGAAGATTTCACAGCCACCCTCAGCCCTCTCTTATCTTAGTATTTAATGATTCTTAATGAATGAACTTTTAAATGCATTATATATGTAATTAAATGCATACATGTATGCATTTAAATACATACATATTCAGAGCAGATGAATTATAGAGGGGAAAAAAAACAACCCTTCAAATTCTTCTCTGTTAACTACCAAGAAAATATAAAATTAAGGGATCCAGTCATACTGGAAAAGCCAAAGCCAGAGATGATCACAGAACTCCCAGTATTGAAGAGCTAAAAATCTCTAGCAATCACCTTGTCCAACTCCTTAGCTTCACAGATGAGAAAACGGAGCAGAGAGGTAAACTGCACTGGTTCCTTTAATGGACCAGAATTATGCTAAATAGTAGTTTCACAAAGCTTGTTAGTTTGGTGCCCTGTCAACGTTTATCTAAAAGGCAATGACTTACTTGAGTACTGCTTTTGCTTAGATTGTGTTTTAAACATTTTTTTTTTGCTTTGCCTAACTTGCTTATATGTTACACAAGAAAATAACCATGTGCACTTCAGTACTAGTTTTTTTTATTTACAATAATATTTTCCACCTTGACCACTCTTCTCTTGTTTACAATTTTTATTATTTCTAGAAATCAAATTTTTTCTACTTGATCAAAAATATGATTCCAGCTTCTACAAAATGCAGCTGACAAGTAAGGAGATAGTTCAAGTTACCTCAGTGGGAGGAATGTTCTGTAATAAGGAATGTGTCAACGGCAAGTAAGAATATCTCCAAGAAAAAGCACTTTATAAAGGTGCTGTCTTTGATTAGACATTTAACAACTCTTGTGACATAAAGTTAACTTGTAAAAACTTGCTAGTAGTGAAAATAATTACTCTTCATAAAAATACAAAATTTTCTACTGGGACAATTCAATTGATTCTATGGATTTGTCTCTGTAGAAAAAGTCAGGCTTGAAATCTATGTGGTATTTAGCTTCTACTTGGCCTTAATTATATCACTTTTCTATCACTCTCACGAATGACTTCAAGTTTTTGACTTGTGCTTTCTTTATACTTCTTTTTTAAAATTTTATTTAAAGAGAAAAAAAGCAAAACAGAAAAAGGGTAGAATAATACAGAATTTCAAAAAATTAAGCAGCAAGAAATCACTAGTTGATAAATTACATATTGTCATCTTAGAAATAGTTGTTCAAGTTACAAAATTAAAGCATACAAAGTGGACATTCAAACAGTGAGACTGCAAATAGTTCTGTTCAATGATCCAACAAAAACTTAGTCTTTTATATTTCTTTGAGTTATGATTTAACTATTTACAAATCTATATTAATATGTATATGTAGATATGTATGATTTTAAATCAGACTTATTTTAGAAGAAAAACATGTTTCTAATTAAAATACATTTAAAGAAACATAGATTTAATTAATCTCAACTTTCTTGTGAGGTGTTACATAGATCAATACTTTAGTAGATGGTTTATAATTAGCATATCATTTTTACTAAACTGATCCATCTGAAAAATCTTCCTTTAGCAATCCCAGCACTGGGGAGGCTGAAGCAGGAGGTTCATTGTAAGTCCGAGACCAACCTTGGCTACAAACAGAGCTTAAGGCCAGCCTGAACTACAGAGCCAGACCCTGTCTCCAAAAAAAAAACCCAAAAAGACAAAAAAAAAAAAAATCTTTCTTTAATCTGTTCATATATCCCTTAAAAAGAAAAAATGTGTTACAGAAAAAACTTTAGCCCAATTTTTCCAAATTCTAAATTAGTGAAACGCTACTTTAATGAAACATTATGCATGTGAGGTGATAGACTCCCTAACTTTTAAAATGCAGTGGATGAGACTGAGACCTAAGACATCAATGACTAGGATGAGGGAATCCTAAACTGATCTTGGGTAATAAACCAGGTGTGTGAACACAATTATTAATAGAGGACTCACTACCTTTCAAAGGCAATCTCATTGTTAAAAGCTGCTGTGATTTGAAAGTTTTCCTTATAATTAATCAAAGCATCCTTCCTTAAAATATCCCACCCATTGATCCTAATTGCAATTTCAATATAAGTAGACAAATAAAGTCTGTTTTTAATCTTCTTTCTCCTCTTATGGCATATTTTACTATGCCACTCATGTTTCTTTTGGGGAAAAATAGGTCAAAAAGAATTATGAAGCAAGTCTCTTACAAACTTTAAATAAACTCAAGTTAACAATTATAAACAGGCACCTTGATTGTTGCCGTCAGTATATGAACCAACTTCTCACACACAGAATCCAAGGCACAGAGAAGCTACAGTTCTATTCCTAGGTTTTGTGAATATTTTTATATTCCTGAACATTTTGGAAAAATAGAATATTTCACAGCAAAATGCTCGACTCTTTCTAAACCAATAACATAAAATATGGTGTTTTTATATTCTCTGTATTATGCCATAATTCAAAAATTATCTAGTAGCACATTTGCTGCAGGTGTTGAAACTATTCCATAGTTTGTCAGAGAAATTGTCCACTTGCTTCCTCACATTATGCTGTGGGTACCCAAATGATCCAGAGTATTCTTTTGTTGTAGCATCCTACATCCAATATCAAGGCATTTAAAATATTTTATTGTTTAAACATTAAGATATCATAGTTTTCTACATGCCTTTCTCTTTTTGTCCATCTCCTTCTTTAGAAAAAATATTCAATATATTGCCAATACAACTAGAAATAAGTTCTCTAGCAGGAAAGATGAGCTGTTTAATGCAGGATATTCTGTATTTGTGAAGGACAGAGAAGTTCTTACAATTTTTTCAAATTAGTTTGCTAAGAAATAAAGAAAATTTTGCCATTTTTCCAATGTCAGATGTAAAAATAAAAAGCAGAGAAGGGAAGAATGGGGCCATAAACTTGATACAATGGATCGCAATCGAGTTTCATCAGATAAACGATGGAGACAGTTTCGATGATGCTCTTGTCAGAAAACACATGGTACGATATACAGTATACGTGCCAGATAGCTTCTGCACTTTCAGAAATGTCATTTCTAAAAATGTCTATCCATTTGCAAAATAAGTATGCAA